GTTGCCTAATCAAATACTAAAATACATATGAGTGTGTTAGTGAAAAAGTTTAAGTGTAATGAGAATTGAATGAGGAAAATTGATTGTGTAACTTCCAGGTTCTCTGAAAGCACGAAACGTGGGGGTTTCATGGAATTTGTCTTGAAATTACTACCATCAATCGATTTTTGACCCTTGGAAGTNGTTGCCATTTTTTACTAGAAAGCGATCCCGTACTTTTCAATGTTACTCTCTCGCTCTGAGCAAATTTTGATTTTTTGACAGTTTTACTAGTCCGAGTCCGAGGAATACGGGATTGCACCTAATATTTTATTTCAAACGAAATTCGCTTGTCAATGCTGAACAGCTGATCAAAATTGAAAGTAAAGAAAATTTAAAGCCAGTTGCCTAATCAAATACTAAAATACATATGAGTGTGTTAGTGAAAAAGTGTAAGTGTAAGAGAATTGAATGAGGAAAATTGATTGTGTAACTTCCAAGTTCTCTGAAAGCACGAAACGTGGGGGTTTCGACATAACTTCCACGGACATAACTTCCACCAAACCGTCACATAAGTTCCATGGAATTTGTCTTGAAATTACTACCATCAACGACTGACATTACTTCCACAGATCTGATTCATGGTAGTTATGTCAGACATAAGTTCCATAATAAAGGNGAGGAATACGGGATTGCACCTAATTTTTTTGTTTCAAACGAAATTCGCTTGTCAATGCTGAACAGCTGATCAAAATTGAAAGTAAAGAAAATTTAAAGCCAGTTGCCTAATCAAATACTAAAATACATATGAGTGTGTTAGTGAAAAAGTTTAAGTGTAATGAGAATTGAATGAGGAAAATTGATTGTGTAACTTCCAGGTTCTCTGAAAGCACGAAACGTGGGGGTTTCATGGAATTTGTCTTGAAATTACTACCATCAATCGATTTTTGACCCTTGGAAGTAACGACTGACATTACTTCCACAGATCTGATTCATGGTAGTTATGTCAGACATAAGATCCATAATAAAGGCTGTATTCGAGCTGCAATAAATGCTGCAGCGTTACTTTTTATGAAAGAGTATCACGTTCTACGCGAAAATTTGGGCGACTCTGCCTACAGCAAGCGTTCGAGGAAATTAATTTTGACAATCAGTTACTCATCATTTGCAAATCAAAAGCAACACAAAAATTTTTACAGCGCAATTTCTGCAGCATTTTGGAAAATTTTCAGTTAAGTTTCAGTTTTCCCGTAAAACTTTTGAAAAAAAGGTCAATGTTCCGAAATCCAAGAAGATCTTTATATGAGATTATCTTCTTCCACGGGATAAAATAATGGGTTGATATATGATTTTGGTAGCGAAAGCGATAAATTTCAATTTTTTTACATTAATGCAGCCAATTTTCAAATATTTTCGAAGCTCTTGACTAAAACCGGTGAGCGGAACTCTTATGACTTATCAGGTTCTTTTTTAAATTGTGTGCTTTATTTTTAGAAAATGATGAATAAACTGCCTGGTTTTAGTTTAAAAATTCGCGCTTCCTATTTCCAATTTTTTTGCTATTTCTACCCAACTTTTGCATGTTATGAATGATGGTTATCAGCCGAAGGTCCAGAAAAAAAAAACTCTTCGGCTATGTTTTGACATCGTTAAGGCCTCCAAGTTACTGTTAGAGGACCGAATAAATATCGAAAAAATTTTATCGAAAGTGGGTTTAGAAAAGGTACTCGAGAAAACTTCATTAGAAAACGATGAAGGATGCTAATTGGACATCGAAATTTAGGACGAATAGGATGATGACTTGATCGAGTTTTCTAAGGAAAACTCGAACGCAAACGCTTCTGACGAGCCTCAAGGACTTCCAAATGCTGGAAACCTCACAATCTGTATAAACTGTAAATAAATGCTTGCGAAATTGTATTTATTCCCTGTGGTCATGAAGTATTATGCGAATTTTGTCACAATCCTTCAAAGATTGAAAATTACCGTGAATGGCAAGTATATCTTCAAAGTGCTGTTCCAACGATATTATAATTTATCCGGAGTATACATATCGTCACCTGAAATGCAAAAAGACGTAACAAACAGCATCGCTGAAATGCAAAAAGTCGGAACTAATAAGAAAATCAAAATGTATTTTAGTTTTATATGATGGATTTCATCGAATTACAACCAGAGGTTTTAAAGAATGCAGTCATTTTTAACTAAATTATTCATTTGATTGAATTCCCTAGTGATTGCAATCATTTTTTGTTAGTCTTCACTAAGACTAAAGAAAAATTAGTCTTTGTTCTGTTTTTCGATTTGTGATTCATGAATCATTTTTTTATTAATTTCTTGTTAGTCATTTGATTTCAGCCATTGGAATGCATTCTTCAATCGTACCTTAAATATAACACACCCTCGCCATCTTCGGCCGCAGTAGAAAGGCTTTTTTCGTTTACTTCATTACTGAATACCCCACACCGTGAAACGCTTTCTGACAACATTTTCGAAAAATTGCTGTTGCTAAAAGTTAACGGAGATGATAAATAAGTTTCAAGGATCATTGATATTTTTTTTTTTTTTGAAACATGTTCTCATGCACTTTGTTATATTTTGATTTACATAATATGTACTTACATAATATGTACTTACCGGAAGTCGATAATGCTACCAAAAGATTGAGCCTTCCCGATGTGGTAAGTCATATTTCTCTAGGACACCCTCTATACATAAGCGCATCAAATCCTTCCCCTTATTGGTCATACTTACTTATTTTCCTATAAATGAATCTAATTTTCTCTTATCCATATGCATTTCTTCACTTACAGCGGCAGTTTGCTGACCCGCAATTTGGCTGATTTAGTCAAAAAAGAACACTTCATTCTTGATTCGGAGTATTTGACCACATTGCTGGTGATTGTGCCAAAGTAAGTTTACACATAACTCAGTAATTAGCTACTGTAATCAATGATAACTTGACAAAATTATTAACATCTCCTCAAAACAGAATACTGGCTAATGATTGGTTGGCCAACTATGAGAAGATCACTGACATGATCGTGCCACGTTCCTCGCAACTGATCACACAAGACAACGATTATTGCTTGTTCAATGTGACACTCTTCAAGAAGGTAGTAGAAGAATTCAAGCTGCATGCGCGTGAAAAGAAATTTATTGTACGCGATTTCGTGTACAATGAGGAAGAATTGGCAGCTGGCAAAAATGAGATGACGAAGCTCATTACCGATAAGAAGAAGCAATTTGTACGTAATCACGCGAACAAACTGTGCACAATGTAAAAGTATTGCAATTTTATTTTTATTTATTTTAGGGCCCATTGGTCAGATGGTTGAAGGTGAATTTCAGCGAAGCTTTCTGTGCTTTGGTGCATGTGAAAGCGCTGCGTGTTTTTGTGGAATCCGTTTTGAGGTAAGTGCTAAAATATTCTAAATTACCAAATTTGAACTCGATTGATAGGATGAGAAAGCTCTGCTGTCGAGCATGAAAGCTTCTCAGGCACATTTAAAAGTGCGACCCATAAGGTTTAGATCTAGGCCTCGAAAAGATTTTGCATGGTTAAAATCATCTTCAAGCTGCGTTGATCGCCTCCGGTTTAGCCTGTCCAGAAACTTCTTACAGTTGCACATATTCCAATTTTCGCCCAGCGCTCGGGCTTCCTGCCCGGTGAGGTAGGGAAATATTCCGAATCGTCTGAAAGCCAAGTCACGCATGCCCAAACTAATTTTGAGCACACCATAAGTCAGCCTAATGCTTGGTTATCAGAGTAGATGTGTACCTGTTTTATCCATGCTAACCATAGATTACTCGCGCTATGAAAACTTTACCGTACACTAAGTTATGCCTTCGGCGTTTCTTTTTGTCAGTCCTCGCTACTTGATGACATTGAACGACGACAGTCGTCAGAGTTATTTTGAAATCAAACCTTGAAGTCAAAGAGAATTTAACAAGAGATTACACAGGGTAGGACCCACTACTGTTTGATATCTTGAAGATGCCTCAATCAACAGAGAAAGTGCCATTTATGTCATGCGCTGTGGCTGCAGGTGAAGAAACAGGCCTGTCAAAACGACGCACTCAGAATTGCAATGGGATGTATGTGACGTCTCCTGAACACTACCTAGCTGTTGAGGCGTTAATGCTCTCTGTTAGAGAATATGGTAGGCAAGCAATATCTGCTCGGCTGCCAGCGCAGAGAACATCAAATCAGGCCTTTGCTTGAAATAGAGCCTAGGGACGTCAGAAGGCGTCTTTACGAACCGCTTGCTCCAACGTTGTGACATAGGCAATCCGCGGTAAACATCGAAAGACTATCGCCACCTACACCCAATTCACGCCCAGTGAATGTCATCGTCATCGTATTTGCGATATAGGTACTGTAACAGGTAAACCAACATAAATATATTTTAAAAGGTGCTGAAAAAAAATAAAGTAAAATTAAAGCATTTCAAAACATAAAAGCAATGACACCAAAAACAGGACTTGATAGAAAAAGCCAACAGCACAACGGTAAACTATCAAGTGATGATGAGAGCAGTGGAGATGAAAATGAAACCAATGGAAATTTAACTCTAATTATTGACAACTTGAACGAGCAATTTAAAGTGCCAAGTAAAGCAATGAGAAAAATTAAAATAGTCAGAAGAAAACATCAGTGATACCTTTGACGACTTGAAAAAATAATTTACAGATTAGTTGAAGAAAACAAAATAATAAAAAAAAAGAGTTGAAAGAACTTAAAACAAGCGGTTAAAATGTTAAAACGAAGATGATGAAAATGAAATGGACTCGCTAACAGTGAAATAGAAACAAAACACGAACAACATTATAATAAAAAAATATGTCATGCTTGTCCAGACTCGACCCCAACATACCCAATACCTGTCCACGCTGTGAAGACTTTGCCACATGGCACCAACTATCTGTTCATTTGCCTACTTAAACCTACTCAGCAAACACCCCTTTCCCTTTGCTAAGAACTCGTCGAAACAGCACGTCTCTTGAGCCTTCCATTAGTTGTGCTTGACGGCAACGATTGATAGACGATCTAAGTGTGGCTTCAGTGTATGTCGCAGCATCATATTAAGTGTAGACTCCTACCTATCACGAACAAAACTCTATGGCTCGTTTTTCTGGTCCATATACATTTTTTGATAATTGGATCACTATGTCAAATCCAAAAACATATTGCTAATTTGAAGATAAGCAATAAATTCCGATCGATGGGCAGATATTCGTCGTATACGTACGAGTTCGGTTGCAAAGATATAAATGCTAGTCAGTGACCATTTTACTTCTGTATAAGCTGTTTTATTTATTTATTTTTCAACTCCTGATAGTAACGAGTTTAATTTCAAAGTTCATAAAAAATAATAATAAAGTGGTAATAAAAAAGATTGTAACCTTGCTTCTTCCCACAGATACGGTTTACCTGTCAATTTTCAAGCCATCCTCATCGAACCCAACAAGAAGAGCGTGAAACGTCTTCGCGAAAGCCTTAACCAGCTGTACGGACATTTGGATGGAGCTTCAGCTGGTGGCCAGGGCAATTCCAGTATGGATGTAAGTAAATTTAGTCACCAAATATCTACAATGCAAGTACTCGATATAATAATCGCGTTTTCTTTCTTATACGCAGAACGTTGATATACCCGGCTTAGGCTTTGGCCAATCAGAATACTATCCTTATGTGTTTTACAAACTGAACATCGATATGGTGGAGACAGCAAAAATCTAAAGTTTTTTGAGTTCAACGCTCAATAATCCAATTTAGCCTAATCACAAATACAAAAAAGAGAAATACCTTTACAAATACGTTTACAAAATGAAGAGAAGTGCAACACACTGTAATTATCCTACAAGAAAAGAGAAGCAAAAAAACGAAGTTTATAAAAATCTATAAAATAGTATAAAGTAAATACTAAACCATATGTACTATGTATGTTGTCAGTTACATGTTCTTTGTTCGATGAACTAAATAGCATTGACGAGCCGCAGAAGCAGTGCAACCAAAGGGTGCAAACTGAGTTAGCGTTAGTTAGCCCACCTGCAGTCACGCAAACGCTAGAAAAAATTAATGCTATTCATGTAAATTATTTTGAGTTAAGAAATCGTCTTCTTAAAATGTTGTAATTCTATTTCTCTATGTTGGTAACTTTTTAGTACTTTCATTTACATATCTACGTAGTACGTATACATATACATATTTGTTTATCATTGCTTGGAACAATTAGTTAAAAATTTTTCTTCTATTGTGTTTGTATATTGGAAATTAGCTTTCTTCTGAAATATTTTGAGCAACAATCGTTAATGCAGACTTTGGGCTAGAATTTTAAGAAAAACGTTATTAATTATAGAATTGTAGATTTCCTTGTTTCGTTATTCTACTTTTTTGTGTGGTTTAGTAAGCCAATTTGACAGTATTTTCTATATCCTTTTTATCTGTCATTGTGTTGATAGTTAAAGCTCTTTCTTACATTTTCCGAATACCAGCAATGTAGCGGGGTAAGCGGCCAAATTTGTTTAATAGTTTTTGTTTCTTTTTTAACGGTTAAAAAGAATTCAAGAAAGCGCAAATGATACGACCAGTCCATTTGCCAAAGAAGAGGTCCTACGNATGTAGCGGGGTAAGCGGCCAAATTTGTTTAATAGTTTTTGTTTCTTTTTAACGGTTAAAAAGAATTCAAGAAAGCGCAAATGATACGACCAGTCCATTTGCCAAAGAAGAGGTCCTACGAAAAGAACTAAAGCAATTAAGCAGCAACTAAATATACATAAATATGCTGGCAAATGCCTGCGTTGATCAATTAAACGCGAAAGCATTTTTAGTTTTTCACAGCTTTAATGTACATAAAGGTAGTAGCGAACTAAATGCAATGCAGTGAAAAGTAATAGATTATTTCATAAAGAACACCATTAATTAACGTTATTTTATAAATCAGCGTTATAATAATATCAATATTCAATGCTATAATCCTATTGCAACTAGCATTGAAGTGTGGAAAATATTTATTTACTACCTATATGTATATTTATTGTTATCGATACCGCTAGCATATACTCCATACGTGTTTTTTAATAATCATACACCACAAATGGCGCTATATTGCTTGTGTTTAACGGGAAAATTAAAAAAAGAAAAAAAATAAATAAATAAAAATATATACCATCATTGCATTGCAAAAAAGGGCGTAAGCGAAGTAGTTGCCGGTTGCTTTCTGGGTACAAATAAATTTTCGTATATAAAACAACAATTCAACAGAATGCAACTTCTAGTACACAATTCAATTTCAATTTTGTATCTATCAAATGCAACTACATCTCTTACACGAACACCGATACACATACATTATTGTTATCCTACATATTTGTGTCCCCTTTTTAACATCCCCGAAATTGTTAAGAAAGAGAACGTACAATAATATTTGTAAACTCTAAACTTAAATTTAAATAATTATACATATATATATTATTGTTATAAAAAGTGAATAATTAAAATTTTATTGCATATTAAAAAGGTACACATCAACTTACATAAGCGTACAGAAATACACATGCACACACCTACATACCTTTTAAACACAAACACACTACTTAATTGAGACAGAAAAAAGAGAACTCTATGTAAATGTACATTTCGAGTATTTAAGCAGTCAGTATGAAAAGATAAATGAGTTTGATGAAGCGTAGAAGAGTAAAAACCTAACGCCATCCTTGTAAATAATTATACGAAAAAAAGACATTCCAATTTTGTTGTTTTTTCTAATGGTATAATCCACCGTAAAAAGGTAAGATAGTTTGTATTTATCTACATAGTTATATCAACTAAAGGGAATTATATTTGAACATTTATGCGCATAAGTGATTATTTCAAAATATGCTTTGATTTAAAATAACTTCTAAGTACAATACCTGTTAATTGACCCAACCCCTCGTCACTTCTATGACGCGACCGACGCACGCTGGGATATATGCCTCCAAAATTATTTTTATAGTTGTAAATTGGTTGTAAATGGTATATTCAACTAATTTGTGTAAATAATATTTTCCTCAATATAATTAATAATTTCCTTAAATAAATTTGAATTTGGTCAGTGCTCTTAAGACAAAGTAAATTGCTTTCCTGGCAAATGTCGGCTGTGGTGCCGCGCGAAGACTACTGGTTCTGANTGTAAATGTACATTTCGAGTATTTAAGCAGTCAGTATGAAAAGATAAATGAGTTTGATGAAGCGTAGAAGAGTAAAAACCTAACGCCATCCTTGTAAATAATTATACGAAAAAAAGACATTCCAATTTTGTTGTTTTTTCTAATGGTATAATCCACCGTAAAAAGGTAAGATAGTTTGTATTTATTATATGCCTCCAAAATTATTTTTATAGTTGTAAATTGGTTGTAAATGTTTTATTCAACTAATTTGTGTAAATAATATTTTCCTCAATATAAGTAATAATATCCTTAAATAAATTTGAATTTGGTCAGTGCTCTTAAGACAAAGTAAATTGCTTTCCTGGCAAATGTCGGCTGTGGTGCCGCGCGAAGACTACTTCTTCTGGTTCTGTGATCGCAGATTCTATTCCGGTAGGAGGTGGTTAGAGTAGGGATGTAAATTACGGTGAAAACATCGATGCTTGAAGAATCGATGTTTCGAAATATTACATCGATGGTAGTTCGATGTATCGAATGAAAACATCGATGTTTTTACAGATTTTTGTAATTTTTATTCAACCTGTGTGCTGATTCAATAAGTTGAACTAACGGTAAAGATTACTGTTTCTTACAAAACAAATATAAAGTAAAAATTTAATCACATACCACCAAAATGCAAAAAGGCGTAACATTGTCGCTGAAATTCAGAAAGTCGTAACTAATACACNAAACAAATATAAAGTAAAAATTTAATCACATACCACCAAAATGCAAAAAGTCGTAACATTGTCGCTGAAATTCAGAAAGTCGTAACTAATACACAATTCAAAATTCAATTTTTGATAGATATGATGGATTTCATCGAATTACAACTCCCACATCTTTTAATGAAAAAAGAAAAAAAAAATTAGTCACGACTTTTTACATTTCAGTTACGATGTTGTTACGTCTTTTCGCATTTCAGGTGACGATATATTTACATTTTTCCTTTCATAAATATTGTAAGGAAAGTTTAATAAAATTTCAATGAGCCCGCTAGCAGTTTTTCAAAATACCTCCAGCATAAGCTTCGTCCGTTTATTACTCTAAAATATTAACTTGAATTAGAATCTCTAGCGTAATAAATGTAGCTTAACACATATGTACACTACATATTTATAAACCAATTAAACATTTATTAAATGTAATATAGGAATTTATTAAAGAAACATACCTGGGCATGATTCCACCAAAGTACTTATCACTATTAAACGCTGGCACAAAATTTAAAGCGCGCACAAAATGAAATGGTGAAAAATTAGTCAAGAAACATGTTCGATGTTTTTCAAAACATCGATGTTTTGATTTAACATCGAATTCGTAAAAGCATCGACGAACATCGATGTTTGAAGCCACGACCATCGATGTTTTTTTACACCCCTAGGTTAGAGTAAGGTAAGTCAATTATTTCAATTTAAATATAAATTACAAATTGTAAAATTAACTTCATATATGGAAAATCTAAATACATACTCAAATACGATAAAAAATAAATTAGATATTTTTTTAAACACAATTTAAAAACTACAATAAAAAAAATAAACAAAAAGTATTAAAAAAAAATGTTAAACTGAGTCAAATCGTTTACTCATATTAAGGCAACCATGTCATTGGAGCCATTTTAAGGTAATATTTCCTTAGAATAATATACTTTTTTCCTAGCATAAAGGAATATTTTTTCTGAGTGTTGAACTGAGGATACCTATGGGTTTCATTTATTTATCGATATCATCATTAAAAGTCACTAAAAAATAAAACGTTTAGTTTCTGATGCACGACTAGACCAAAATTTATTTCTTTATTAATTCACACCAAATTAATCAAATTAGTTGATATTTTAAGTAAAATTCAAGTCAATTAAGATCTCATAAGCACTCTCTAGTTTATTTAACTCTCGTGCCCGGCTTCCAATTTCATCAAACGCTTCTTGGTTTGACGCCGTTTACGTAGATTGTCGAACAGGCGTACCGAGAAAAAGTAGACCAATTCGATGAGACTCAAACTGGATATACCCATGAATAAGCCCAAAATGCCACCCCAGTTGGCTATTAGAGTGGCGACACTAAACAATACCGTACGTTTGATGGCCGTGAATTGATGCTCCTTGAAATAGACTGATAAGCGAGAGCCCAAGAAACTGTAATACAAATGTTATGTGATTAAAGAGTTTTAGGAAATAAAAAGAACTTTTAGAGATTTGTGCATTTACACTCACTCAGAGTGCTCATAGACTTCACGAAACGCTTGTATAGTTTTGGCCAAATCATAGCGGGCACTCGAAATTTCCACATTGTAGTCTAGTGATGTGCAAGCTGGCATACAGTCACAAATGATTTTCATGCTTGGATCCATTGTAGCTGCTATAGTTTGGTTCTGAATTAGAATACGTAATTCCGATTGAGCGGAATCATAGCAGCTGATGTCCTCAACACTGCAGACCGGCACATCAGCGGGTTCTACAAGAATATGCTAATGTAGGTACTATTTAAAAAAAAAAAATTTAGTAAATTTCTTTCCACTTACTTGGCATCCAAAATTTGGCACAACCACATTTATTTATAGTGAAATTGGTCAAACACTCCACTTGGCAATTGGATTCTGAATAGAAGCGGAAGTAACGCAAATAGCGTTCATCGTTGAAGTAGCACTGGCGTCTGTGAAAAAGGAAATAGGCAAAAAAATTGCAAATTAAAGCAACCTACGTATTAACTTGATGTATGTATGAGTTATTTCTCACTTTTCTGGACTGAAGTCATGTAGGTTATCGGTGGATATTACATAATTCGGCAACACGCTAACCATCACCTCATCGCCGTGCGGTACTAAAATGTAATTACCCGTTGTAACCGGCACACTCTCAGGGGATGTTACAAACACCTGTGGGTTGAGCAGAAATGATGAATTGTACTAATACGTGTATATATGTTGTACATATGTACATTAGGGTGGTCCAGAATATAAAACCAACTTTACTGTTTTGGCCTAAATAAGTAACGTATACTCAATGTTTTTTTTGCTCTTTTAATATGGCAATAACTCGTGCCGACTCGATGTTAAACTTATGGTTGAGAAGTTGTGCTAGCGGGGCAATTCTGGCTAAGAAGTTAAAGTTGATAGTCTTTTGTAAGGATTTTGAAAGACAGTAGGCAAGATAGTTTGAAAGATTTTCTTTATTCTGGCCCAAAACTCTTACCAGAGAGTTCTCTTGCCAACTTTCATGGCGAAAAGCTCTTTTGACAAAAAGCACTTGTAGGTATATAATTTTGCTCGCGCTGCTCCAACAGTCGCAACGGCGTGCCATTCGAGAGATCTGAGCTTTTTTTCTTTTCTTAATTATTATTTTTCTTTTCGCATTCAATTTCCTTTTAATTTTTAAATTTTTTTTTTATATGGAACGTTCCATGTCAACCGGAACAGAGCTATGTCCAAAAATTGGTACAATACTTTTAAGCGCTGAAATGTGGCGATTTTGAAAATTCAAAATGGCGGCTCCAGTAAGGCTATGCAATTCATCAAACTCACGAACGGACAAATAATAACATTTATATAATTTACAAAACCTAATAAAGGAAATAAAAAAATACTTTTTTAAGCAATGTTGGGGTCGCTTAATATAAATCTGATGGCGGATTTTAAATAGTCAAAATGATGGTGGATGATTTTTTTGTAATCCAACGTTTTTCTCTCTATTTAAAATTTGTATTTAATTTTTTAATTTTATTGTTTTGTAAAGAAATATTTTTTAGGTTTCATTAAATTTTTAGAAACATATTTCGAGGGATTATATTCAATACCCTCTATCTGCAATTTTCACAAAAACTCATCTCATTTTTATGAAAAGTGCAGATAGAGGGTATTGAATATAAACCCTCGAATTGTTTTTTTTTATTTTTTTCTTTTTTAAGTCAATTCTTTCCTTATCTAATTAAATTTTCTTTTAGTTTTAAATTTTATTATTTTATAAAATTAATATCTTTAATTTAATTTTTAGGTACTATCGTTTTCTTTTTTTTAAATTATTACTTTTTCTTTTTTAATTAAATTTTCTTTAATTTTTTTACCGACTGCACAAAAAGGAGAAGGTTATCAATTCGTCGGAATATATATATGTATATGTATATATTTTTTTTAATGTATGTTACCGCATAACTTTAGACCACGTTAACCGATTTATAAAATTTTGATATGAGAATTAAAGTCAGTTTCGTTTTTTGGTTAAAAATTACTTGTTTTAATATTATTTAATTTTTCGTAACTTATGGTCTTATTCATCTTTTATTTATATTATATTTATCTATCTATATACATAAATGTGAATGTATGTTTGTTTATTACCTTATAAATCTTGATCCACGGCACTTATTTAATGTTTAGTTTTTATTGTTTTAGAAAGAAAAATATATGTATATTATCTTAATCTCATTTAATTTTTAGAAAACTAATTGCTATTGCATAGCGCTAAGACCTCCTAGTTAGCAGATCTTGCAATTAGTCTTTTGAAGGACAGAAACGAGTTTTCAAGAAAGTTTACAGAATTGTCGATTGGCTTACGAACGACTTCTGTCTCTCCAAACACTGTGCTTAGTTGAAAGACAATTGCCTGAATTTCGCTGTAAAAGATTACCATTCAGTGGGACGATTGTTCTCATGCAGTAAATCTACGTTTTATCTTTTCACTGTAATTAAAAAATAATAAAATCATCTATAGTGCTCGTGTAGTGTTTTTTAGGGCACATCTTTCACTACGGCCCCTTCAATTTCTTTGAATGTCGGTAAGTTTCAGCGCCCGTTTTTTGAGCGTGACCTTCCCGAAGTCGCAGTTTACCTTGTTGACACTTTGCTGTATGTCTAAGCCTTTGTCAAGGCAGCTTGGACCAACACGTCATGTTGCCAAGGTATCCTCGTTTTTCATTTCTTACATTTATAAATGTTTTCGATATTCCACAATTTTATTGAGCTTGAGGCCGTTTTTAATGAAAAATGGTGTGGAAAAACAACAACAATTTACACATAGGTAGAAGTTATAGCTGTTTTTTCGGAGATCACCACATCTCCTCATCAGCCTCAAGTTTAGAAAAATTGTTGAATTTAATTGTTATAAGGCCAT